TATATATATATATTGTATATAAATTTCAATATAAAAACTTTAAATACCATATTAATTTAATTATCTTACTTTTAAAAATTCAGTTATAAAAATTTATTCATTAATTATTTTGCTATAAAATATTTTGTTACATATATGAAAATAAGTTGTATATTTTATTGTTTTTTCAGAGGTGTTTCTGCAAAATGTAATCAAATAAGCTATTTTATTATTGGAATTATTCAAACAAGTAAACTATATATTTCTATTTAAATGAAACTATAAATTCAACAATATAATAAAATGAAATCTATCTTTCTAAAGAGTGTACTTTTTATATGTTTCTTAATTTTCTATTGCGAGGTAAGATTATATGTTAATTATACTTATTTAAATGTACATTTAACTGCAATTAAATGAATCATTTTGATTGATTAGATATTGTTATAAGTAGTTTTTGATTAAAAAATTATTAATTATATTCATTCCTACATAGAATTTGTATTTTATAATTTGTTTTTGATGAATTCAATTTAAATCAGTTTATATTTTAACCAAATTATTATTATTATTATTTTATTTTTATATTTCTGTCTGCAAATCATATGATAACTGATTACAGTCAATTAATTTTAATTTTTTTCATTGATGTAGATGCATCTTGTGGAGTTAAAGAGAAAAGTATTATTTTATTTTTTGTCTATAGAAAAAGTTTGAAAAATTTCAGTAGTATAAATCTGCTTCTAAAATTATAATATTTAAAGTCAAAATATAGATTGGTTTGTCTGCTAAATTTATTAAAACAAATATCAAAATATTTACTAAAAATATTAAATATTTTTATTAAATTTTTGAAAAACTATGAAATTTTTTTTATTGTATTTAAATATACTCTTCCCATACATTGATTGTTTTTAAACTTCCAAGTGAAATTGTAATGTGAAGCATGATTTAACTTCCACAGATGTTTTCTGTATTTGCAATATGTATTAGCAGATATTTAACAATAGCTATACATCTATCATGTCCTTGGATAAATTCTGTTAATTTTTGCTTTTATTTATTTATTGGATTAATATTTTAACTTAAATAAGACTGAATTCATATTTACATAAATATGTTAATAATGTGAAAAGTAACTCAGATAATTCAATAAAAAGAAACATTATGTTATTAAGAAAATAATGTAGTTTATTATAAATGCCAATTTTCAACTTTTACTAGATAATTAAATAATTAATTTATTTTGAATTTGCACAAATATTTATATTTTATTTTTATTTAATTAATTATACTGCAAGTTTAACAAAAATAATAATTACAAATGTCTCTTAAGTGTTACAATAAATTATTGGAAATTTAAGCAATATGATAAATAAAAATTGTAGTAAATTTTATACTTCTTAAACAGTTATAAAATAAATGTTATTTTTTTACTTTTAAAAAGCTTTGGAACACAAAATATGTTATTTTGTGATGACATAAAACACAAAGCAAACAAGTAAAAGAACAACCGTCTGACCAATGGTCATCTCACTATCTCACTGACAAAAAATAAAGAACCTTTAACTAGGAGTAAGAAACAATAGAACTCCATCTGGTGTACAAAATATTATACAGGTTACAAAGATAATAAATTGTTGAGAGAGAATTATTATATACATTCAAAGTGTTCATGATTTACTTTAAGAACATATTTTATTTACATATAAAAGACAATATAAGTAATCTTTTGAGTGTAAAAACTCAATTGAATATAAATGCAGATACAGAATATGATCTTATAAATACAAGCATTTCCTGTTGCTGAATATATGAATTCTAGATTTTTTGGCTCTCAATATTTTACATTTTGCAATTAGAACGGACAGTACAACTGCACAAAACGCATACTGTTGTTGCAATGAATATTAAGTGTTTATCAGTTTCTGTGTGATTCCACCTAATACTTCAATATTATGTGATAAGTCCTACTGAGAGCTGAAAATCTAATACTCGTGTATTTAGCTCTATTAATAGAAAGATATAAAGCACATCGCCTTCTTAATGTCTTCCTGTTTAATGTTTTTCCAGTAAAAAACCAAACTTTATAGGACAATTGAATCTCTTGATTTACTTTTCTGACCAATGTTTATATAGGAAAAATTTATGTTTATGTCTCAAAAAGTCCATATAACAAAACAATATTGGTAAAGTCTCAAGTTATATTCCAAATACAATTGATTAGAATGTTAGAATTACATTAATTATTTTGAAAAGCCCCAAATGTCCAGAAATAGAATATGCATTTCAATTATTGGTTGCTTAATCATAGTGTCAAATCATACCAACCGCTCCTATAGCAGAAAGCATAAACATGCTTTTTATGATGTCACTAACAGTAGTCAATCAATTCTTCAATTTTCAGCAATATCAGGCAGATTGTTGTTTCTGTGTGCATTTTTTTTAAACAAATCTTTTTATTGTCATGTATTCTTTGCTGTGCCATATCATTAATGTAATATTTGTTGTATGGATATAAATTATGCATGTTTCTGCTTGCAAAGCAACTGTTTGCTAATCAGAAAGTAATACATTAAGCATTTTATATCCTAGTATAGTAGTTTTTAACTTTATGTAGATGTTGTATTGTGTTTTAGTTACACTTTTAGAAATTAGTTGAGAGTTTTGAGTTGTGGGGCATTATAATTTTTCCATTTAAAATAAAGGAAATAGCTCTGGGTTAATGTTTTTCTATGGAATGTCTGGTTTTTAAAAATTCCTGATATTAGGATGCTTATAGATGGAAATGATATAAAAATATTTAATGCTTGATTATAATAAGCATATATTTTCATATTTCTGAAATTAAAATTTTTTTTATCAGGTAATGATATACTATGTAGTATTGCTTCAGTGTTCCTGGCCACACTTAGAATATTCAAATCAATTTATTAATTCCTTTCAACAAAATCAGCCTTTGAAAGTTATGCTTCTTGCTGATATTCATCTCCTTGGTTCAAGAAAAGGACATTGGTTTGATAAATTAAGAAGGTAAAATGATCCTCTTATAATCCTTTTGTTTAAAAATCATAAGAGAGTTATGCAATATATGTTACCACAATTTCATAATCATAATTTCTAATTGCTATTGTATTATAATGTAAACAAAATATACAGTAAAGCATCTATTAATCCAAATTGAATTCAGAGTATACTAATTCCAGAAATTATGAAGTTTTTACATACAATTGTCAAAAATCTACAGGCTTATTATTGAGCTATCTTGTTATTTATTTAACTATTATGTATTTTTTATTTTGAATACAATATAATAATGATATAAGTTATATATTACAACTATTTTTATTTTTATGCTTTGCAATTGTAATATTTTGCATGTTTGATTATATCTTTATCATTTTATATATTAAATAAACAAAATCAATAATACATTAAGTCAATGTTTTCTCAATAGCAAGAAAAATTTTAAGATACAATAATTTTTTAAAGATTTTATGATTTGTATATGAAAATAAGTTGTATATTTTATTGTTTTTTCAGAGGTGTTTCTGCAAAATGTAATCAAATAAGCTATTTTATTATTGGAATTATTCAAACAAGTAAACTATATATTTCTATTTAAATGAAACTATAAATTCAACAATATAATAAAATGAAATCTATCTTTCTAAAGAGTGTACTTTTTATATGTTTCTTAATTTTCTATTGCGAGGTAAGATTATATGTTAATTATACTTATTTAAATGTACATTTAACTGCAATTAAATGAATCATTTTGATTGATTAGATATTGTTATAAGTAGTTTTTGATTAAAAAATTATTAATTATATTCATTCCTACATAGAATTTGTATTTTATAATTTGTTTTTTGCTAATGAATTTAGCTAATTCTGTTTATAAATGAATGAAAAAATTACCTCTTTGATCAGTGCCGTAACTAGCCATTCCTGTGCCCTGTGCAAGAATTTGCATTTAGGCCCCTTAATTAATTAGGTTTGGGAAAATAATAAAACAAATACATGCATTTTGGGCCCCCTTCCAAGTGGACCCTGTGCAGGTGCACCTGTTGCACCTGCCTAGTTATGGCACTGTCTTTGATACTTTTAAAATTTGATAAAAATTATCAAGCCAAAAGTATGGAGTTGACAGAAATCATGAAGACCTGATATTCTAAAAGTATTTAGTTTACTATGTCTTGTCATTGGACACGATTTTCTTTAAGTTTAGATTAGTTTAGTGATAAAAATATGACAGTTTTTTCAAGAAAATATATTAGTTTGATACATAATTCCATTCTAATAAGATAAATTTTAATTTCAAAAACTATTGTAGAAAACAGAATGTATAAATTATATAATTTGATAAATTAAGAACTTATACAGGAATCGTATTTTACAGAGATGAATGAATTAAGTTCTTTAAATAGTCATTATGCAGAATGCATTTTGAGTGCTAGACCCCTCTTCAGCTGCTTCAGGTCTAGCACCCAAAATGCATTCTGCGTAATGACTATTTAAAGAACTTAATTCATTCATCTCTGTAAAATACAATTCCTGTATAAGTCCTTAATTTATCAAATTATATGATTTAAGAAATACATTATAACTGTTTAAAATTTAAGATAAATGTACAGAAAATTTTTAATAATTATTACTTTGTTATAAAATAAAGGATAAATATGTAATAATTAATTGTTAAATATTCTGTTTTTTGTATTGATTTAAACTTATTTTTATTGAGGATTTTTAAATTTTTAATTTGTTGTTGTTAAAATTGCCAAATTTACTTTTAAAAATTTTAGAAAAACAACAATAATTAGATTGAAAAGTTAATTATTAATTAAGAAATCAATAAAGATGGAATCAGTTAGCTTTAAATAATTGCTAGAATAATTTATATATCATTTGTATTAATAAAATATTTAGATAAAATCACTTTAAGAACATATGTTAATATTTTTAAATGAAATTATTTTATACAGTAGACTCTCCCTTATCTGGACTGATCAAAGACAACCAAAAATTTTCAAAAATATTGTACATTACTCCAAATCTTATTTTTCTGTATTGCAGTGTATGTATTATTAAATTTATTTTTATTAATGTTACTTTGAAATTGTAGAAGAGCACAATACTGTACATCAATCACCACTAACATGATAATGATGAGGCATTGGCATGATTAGCAGCTTGTCAGCAAATCGAGAAGAACAAAACAAACAACTTTAACACGATATTCTCAAAATTAATTATAATTGTACAAGGGGGAGTCTGATATTAAAGGTACAGGCCAAAATTACACTAACATTTGTAAATAAAGAAAATATTTAATTCATTCCACAAAAACTGCATACTTTTGTTTATTTCTTGACATAATTGCCATAAGACATTTATCCCAGCATGACACTAGTTTGAACATCCCTTCACTATACTGTTACTTGTCAAGTTGCTTGAAATAGTCCACAGTGGTGCCTTCCAATTCCTCCTGATCTGCAAAGTGTTTCCCCATCAAAAATTTCATTAAAGATCCGAATAAATGAAAATCCGACAGGGGAGCTAAATTTGGACTTTACGGAGAATATAGCAGGATGTCAAAAATAAGCATCAGAGTCAAAACAAACATTTCTTATATATATTAGGCATGTATGTTACATTCTTATTTAAAAATTATTACACTACCTTATCCAGATTTTTCTAATATCTAGATCACTCCTGCCCATATTAGTTTGAGTACAGTAATACCTCGACTTACACTACCCCGACTTATGCGAACCTGGAGTTACATGATTTTCAAATCTTGTCGATTCATCTTTTGTTTGAGTGCCACACAACTCTTGATTACTCACTCCCCCCACACTATTGTTCAGCTTACATGTTCGGACGTGTCGTGCGGAATCGACACGTAAATAACACAAAATAAATTGTAGCTATTTCTGTGTTTGTTATATCTACGGAGACTTGAGAGACTCTATGTGGTGATTTCTTAAAACCGTGAACGAATCAAAAGACGAGATAAGATTAACGAGAACATTTATTAGCTTACATCCGACTTGGATTTTATACAAATTGTGAAATTATACCCCGACTTACGCGGTTATCACTCAGTCCCACCTATCGTGTAAGTTTGGGGTATTACTGTATAGGAGAGTCTACTGTGTTTTCATTAATTTTTGTATTAACTAATAAATAGTTATTTTTTCTAATTAAGGGAATGGCAAATGTACAGAGCTTTTCAGACAGTTATGACTGTTCACAATCCAAATGCTGTGTTTGTATTAGGTATATTTATAATCATTTTAAAATTTTAAATATTTTTTGCCTTAATTATTGGATTTTTGTTTAATTTAGGTGACTTGTTTGATGAGGGGCTTTGGTGTAGCAAAAAAGAATTTAATTATTACATTCAAAGATTTCATAGTCTTTTCAATGTTCCACAAGAAACAAAATTGTTTGTTGTACCTGGTAATCATGACATGGGATTTCATTATTGGTTAGTAAAATGAAAGCATAAATTGCTCAACATTACTATTAATTAATCTGTAAACTGAATAATATATTAATTTTTCTTAAAATATTAAGTTTAGTTTTGAAATACTAAATATATTTTTAAAATTTAATTATTAAAATTACTTTCAGGAAATTGAATATGATATTTGTTTCATGTTTAATAAAACTTCAAAAATGTTTTCCATAAAACAATGATAACTGATTTTAAAATCAATCCCAAATGTTTGCTGACTTTGAAAATGATTTCAAGGTCAGCAAAAAATTCTCCATAGGAAGCATGACTTCCTATTAATTGTTTTTTTTTTTTATTTATTATTATATATTCCTTATTATATAGAAATTTTTACTATTTTTAGGATGGATGATTATTTAAAACAACGGTTTGATGCTGCTTTTAACATATCATCTGTTGATCTAATAACTTTAAGAGGAAACTCATTTGTTTTATTAAACAGTATGGCTATGGAAGGCGATGGATGCCATTTTTGTAAATCTGCCGACAAACAATTACAGAAAATTGCAAATATTTTAAATTCCAATAAGGTTATTATTTTATTAATTAAAATAAATTTCACATTAATAAGTAAGTAAAATTTTTTTATGTAATAAGCAGATACTCATTTTTACCGAATAAATTTTATTACATACATACAAAATTATTTGTTATTCACATTACAATACAATAAACTTATTGTCATGAATCAGGTCTTATTTTAATAGTTTAAAAATAAATATTAATAAGTTTTTAGCATCATTAATAATTCATCATCATTATCATAATCCATAAAGTATTTTAAAAACGTTTGTAATATATCATTGATTGAAATGTTATCTGCTGTTAAGAGAAAGAAAGTACAGTACTTATTTTAATTATTTTGTTATATGTTTTATAAAAAGTTAACTATTAGAAAATATTAAATGAAAAATGCTAAGGTAAATTAATTTGAAGTGAAATATTAAAATGTATTCAATTCAATATAATTTAAAATTTATTTAACATTATACATAATGATCATGATAGTAATTATTTCAAATTTTCGATTTTAGATATGTTTCTACTCGTATTTTTTGAAATTATATCTATTTTATTGCTCTACTTTTACAGTTTTTAATAATGTTTAAATGTTTACATAAGCCATACAATATTTTTATAATTCTTCACAATTTTTACCAGAATTATTATAGCGTACATATACATCAGTTTAAATACATATACATATTAAATACATACATCCTGTAGTAACTTTGTATGGAGTGATAATCATTATTAAATTTTAAAATTTAAATATTTTAGAGAGATGATTTAAGAAAGATGGTAAAATGTACTATAAAATAATACTAAACAAAAGCAACACACAAAAATTACAATTATTCATGTGATCTCTTTTTTTTATTGTTTACTTAGATTAAGATTATATAATTTATAATTCTTACTTATATAAAATTAAAACTATATTTTGTAATTTGAAGTATATTTTTATATTTGATATTACATTTTAACACAATTCAACCTTGTTGATAAAATTAAACAAACAAATTACACTTAACTTTTAGAAATTAAAAGTATTGTTATTTTTTTAGCACTTTTAAGATCTCTCTTTTAATATTTATTACTTTACACTATAACTTTCTGTCCTCTTGGATTATCACTCATTATGCCTTGTAATATTCTAAAAAAAAGAAATGTTTAAACTAAAATTTAATACCTAAAACAAGAAGTTTTACAAGATAAGCTATTTGATATTTTAAAAAACCTTGCCATAATAGGCTTCAATCTTTTGGAAAATTTGGTTCTGGATGATGTTCCCAATTCCAGAATTTATCCAAAAATGATGAGATAGTCAAATTACATAAAGCTCATTTAAATCATTCATAGTGTTGGTCTGTTTCTGACCTTGAATGGTTAACACACTGCATTTCTTAGTTTTTTCACTGGAATTGCTGTTTATTATGCAAAATTTGAGTAAGAGTTCAATAATTTTATAAATCTTATGCAGTAAGATTTTATAGTTTTTTTTTTTTTTCTTTTGAAGTTTTATAGTTAAATATTTTATTAACCACTCACCACTCACCACACACCACACTCACCACAGTTCGAAAACGTTTGTTTTTGTTTGTTTATCTGCACACCATAATCAGTTTGGAGTACGTTAATAAATATTTTATCAATGTTTTTAAGGAAATTTTGCAGCCTTTTTAAAGCTACTTAATAAATATCAATATTTTTTAATTATAAAATTTAAATTTGATTTGTTTATTTATTTTACATTATTTAAGTAATTTTTGATTTAGATAAAGGAGTAATTTTATAAAACTTCACCAAATTTAATGCATAGTAACGTGTGTATAAGACATATTACTTTGTTCAAATAATCCAGTATTCATTCATGTATTAAATTATTTGAACTATTTAAATTTTTGTTTTTCTCAAATATGAATTAAGATATACTTATTTAAAATTATAATTTCAGAATGAAAAAACAAGTCAACGTTATACTAATGTTGAAAAATTGCAAAATAGCAAGCCTATTTTCTTACAGGTAATTTAAAATTATTATTTACTAACTAAATATTTTATAAACATAGTTATAAAGTACTGTATTTATGAAATACACATAATACATCATTTATGAATATTTCAATGAGTAAAACTTTTCATTGCTTTTTAATTAAAAAAATTTTTTTAGCATTTTCCTATGTATCGTTCATCAGATAAGAATTGTAATGAACCAGATAGTGCTCCTCCAGAAGCAAAATTTCAAATTTTTCGTGAGAAATGGGAATGCTTATCCAAGGAAGCTTCTGATAAAGTAAGACCTCTATTGAAATGATGTAGCAATATAAAATAAATAAAGAAATATATATATATATATATATATATTTCTTTATTTATTTTATATTGCTACATCATTTCAATAGAGGTCTTACTTTATCAGAAGCTTCCTTGGATAAGCATTCCCATTTCTCACGAAAAATTTGAAATTTTGCTTCTGGAGGAGCACTANTATATATATATATACACTTAAACAGGTTTTAAAATTATTGAATCCTCGTGTAATTTTTACTGGACACACTCATTATGGTTGCCATGTAATACACAATGAAGACATTCATGAGTGGACCATACCATCTTTTAGTTGGAGGAATATTAATAATCCTAGTTTTATATTAGTAAGTTTGTAAATAAGTTTTATTGCTAGATAAATTTTTTAAAATTTATTAGATGAATGATTACATATTCATTTTATAAACTTTTTATTACTATTTTATACAGGCTGTTTTTACACCAGATAGTTTTGCTATCAATAAATGCTACATGCCAAAAGAAAATACTGTAATTTTAACTTATGTTTTTGGTACAATTTGTTTCTTAATTTATCATCTTTATCATGTCACTAGAAAACTAAGAGTGAGAGTTTTTAAGAAAACACATTAGATATGATTGAGATATTATTATAAAAGATTGTGTTGTTATGATTATGAAAAGTCACAATGCATAGCCATTTATCATGCAATGAACGTTTATTATTCTAGTATTTTCAGTCTTCTTAATTGACCTTCTTCAGGGAATATCTGAATTTACAATTTAAAAGGAACAAAGCCACTTATTTTATAATGATTTACAATTTTCCATTTTAGGAACAAGATAAATTTTAAAAATGATTGTACCATTCAACGTGTAAAAGTCTGCATATGCATTTTTAAAATTTGTCTATTTCCAAAAATGGAACATTGTAAACTATTATAGAATAAGTGGCTTTGTTCTTTTTAAATTGAACTGTTTGGGGAACAAAATGGTAAATGCCAAAATGGAAATTTTAGAATACAGCAAAATTAAAATTGTGATTGAACCATAAATCTGAACAAGCAATTATTTATTGTGACATTATCAGAATGCTGGGCTGCAACTTTTAATCATATTTTTAATTTATTTCATTTAAAATATATGCTCTCTACTTCAAATTAGTTCTGTATTATCTTGTCCCTGTACTTTTCTGTTAGGAATGGAATCGTGCCAGTCATCTATTATTAGAGAGGTTGCGGCCGACGTTTTCATCGCAAAAATGTGTATGTCAGACGTTCAGCGCCGCCAACCTGTAAGCCTAGAAGTTTAACAATAGTGTTTGGAATGTCAGTGAAATCATGCTCAATGTTTCAAATGCCATTGTCAAACTTCTAGGCTTACAGGAAGGCGGCACTGAACGTTCGACATACACATTTTCGCAATGAAAACATCAGCTGCAACCTCTCTATTAACTGCTTTCAAGGGGAAAAGTTCTGAATTGAAATAATGTGACTTCCAGTTTGCATTGGAAATTCATATATAGTTAATCAGGGCCTCCTGTCCCTAAGGTTTCTACATCTGGTCTCAGATTTCATCTATCTAAGTCCGTTCTTGGGATTGAGGAAAGACAAGACAAATGGACTGACAACAGTGGTAATTTATAGGTCTACAATTTTTTCAAATTGCAGGGCAATAAATTTATTCTAAAATCAATTTAGTTTCATAATGACATAATTGAAATAAGAGTCAGATGATCACCTGGGAGATGGCAATAGCTATAGATGGCAATGGTGCTTACCATTATGTTTCCCCAAGCAGCTCAATTGTAAGTTCAGATATCCCCCGAAGAAGGTCAATTGAGAAGACTGAAAATGTTAGAATAATAAACGTTCATTGCATGATAAATGGTTGTGTATTATAGTGAGTGCTGAGACAGTTACTGAAGGGATTATGAAAAGTTTGCTGAGAATGTAAAAAACATTTTCTAATGAAATACAGGGTGGAGTATATGTATGTCCTAGTGAGAAAATACTGTAATTTTTGAGTCGTTTTTTAGAAGCAAGTTGTATTTGAGAGTTTAAGAGAAGGATAGTCAGCATACACAGTGTACATATACAGTGTATGCTGACAGTGTATATGTACACTGTACATATACAGTGTATGCTGACTATCCCTCTATATATATAATAAATATAAAATACCATGTTTGTGTATATATATATAAACATGGTATTTGGTCTCAGATTGATAGCTCTTGATGGATCAGAAAAGGCTGGAGGTAGTATCAAGTGGCACCATATAATCCTGATTTAAATCCCCTAGTCTTTACAATATAGGGACAAGTAAAGATAAAGTTTGTATGTTTTTAATGCATATTCTTCTGGAGTACAATTAAAAAAATTTCAGCCAGACACCCTATTATTGACCAATTTTATGGATGTGTATGGAATTTGATTGTGTCTGAAGGCAAACATGCTGAAAATTGCATTTCATAACGAGCAGTTATTTATTGTAACATTGTCATAATGCCGAGCTGCAATTTTTAATCATATTTTTAATTTATTTAATTTAAAATATATGCTCACGCCTCAAATTAGTAGTGTCTTTCCCCTGTACATCATACTTCTCCATTAGCAAAGGAGTCATACCGGTCATCTATCTAACTCCTTTCAGGGGAAAAGTTTTGAACTGAAATAACATGACTTCCTGTTTGCATCAGAAATTTGTATGTAGTTAATCAGGGCCTCCTACAGTTAGATTTCCATATCTGGTCTTGCCTTTATCTATCTAACTCCATTCTTCAGATTAAGGAAAGACAGACGGACAACAGTGGGAATTTATGGGTCTACAATTTTTTCAAATTGCAGCCCAATCAATTTACTACTTAATTAATTGCATTTGCATTTGGTCTTTTTTAATAATATAATTTTTCAGCCAGGACACACATATGTCCCATCCTGTATATGAAAATTATGTAATAGAAATTCAGGAATGGAAAAAAATGATAAACTGTTTATGTGAAATTTTTTATATCAAAATTTATTTAAGTTTTACAAATTTTCAAATTTTATAGTTTAAATTACTTTAAAATTTTTATTTTTACTTAATATATACAAATACTTATTTATGTTGTGTAATTTAATCTTTTAGAGTTTTAAATATATATATTACTGTAATAAATATTAAAATTTTGTTTTAAAAGAATATTCACATATTAACAAATTCTTGTAATAAAAATTTATAAAGTTTAAAATATTTTGTTTGTTTGTGTTTTGTTCAAACATATTATAAAATAAACAGATATTTGATATATAATTAAATATATAAAAAATAAACTATTTTTAAAGCAAAGATAGTAGGATTAGAATATTAAATTTTAAATTAAATTAGAGAGATCATTGTGAAATACAGTTAATTTAGCTAGGGAGAGTATCTGAATGAGCCATGCCAACAGCCAACCAATCGATATTGTCATTAATATCATAATCCATGTTAAAAATATGTCTTTTTCTTAGTAATTTTTCCATTGTTTTCTTTCTCATAAGTTTATTTTTATAACATGTTTCTAAATCATATTCCTGTTTATGAACTTTTTCAGGTTCTTCTAATATAATATAAGCTGTACATTTGTCAACAGAAGTTGGTTTCTGAAATACGTTTCTTTTATTCTGTTTATATTTTTGATATTTTTCTGTTCTAATTTTTTCACTGTTAATTTGACATTTATGCAACAATTGTTTTTGGGATACAAAGATTTGAGAAGAAATTACATGAATTAAAAAGAATTCTGAAACACTTATACTCTCAGCATATATCTGATGCTTTGATTGATAAACAGATGCCATTGCTAAATATTCTTCTTTATAAGAAGACAATCTTTCAGTTTCTCTTATTTTTATTAAACTGATTTTTTCTGTACTCCTTTCTGTACAAAAATATTGTTTTGCAATAAAAGGTTTTTTGCTAATTATTGATTGATTGTTTGATTTTCGATTTTGCTGTTTCATTTTTGCTTTCCTTTCAGACAATTGGATTGTGCTTTTATTTTTTAAATTTTTGTTATTTGTTTTGTCTTCTAAATTGATTGATGTTAAATCTGACATAAATTCACAACATTTATTTCTGTCAGGTATTTCATTCTTATATTCCAATATATCATCAACAGATAAACAATTTTCGTGAACAATTATTTCTTTGATTAAATTCTTAATATCATTCTTATTTAATTTATTTTTAAAAGTAGCTATCGATATTGCATTCATCTTGTCTTCATCAATAGACTCCTTTAAATCCATGTTGTAATTTTTAACTTCAATAGGAATTGCGCTTGAAACTTCATTTTCATGTAAACTTTCTTTTGAATCCTCCAATTCATTGATATTTATAAACTCCTTGGCTTCAAGAAAGAATAGATGCATTAATATTTCTTTTAGTGTGAATTCTATTTCTTTGTGAAGCTTTTTGTTTATCTGTAATTCATCAAACTTCTCTTTCAAGCTTATTAAATCATGTACTTTTAATGTGTGATCAAACATTTGCTCATTGGACATCATTTCTGTGCTGTTTGAAGTCATCCAATCTTGAATATCCTAATGATAAAGTTTGTATAATACTAAATTATGGTAAAATAAAAGAAATTAATTTTATTTATTGATACCTTATTTTTTAAACTGTTCTTTATTCTTTGTAAAGAATGATCATTAAAATATTTGATTGAACTATCTGATTCTTTCTGGTTGGTGTGAAGAATATGCTTGTTTACTATTCCATCATTGCTAAAAGAATCTGATGCAATGTTCTTTGCATAGTGTAGAGATGATGAGCAGCCTTCTATGACACTTTCTTTATTTTTAATTTTATTATTAGATAAATTTCTGTCATATTCCTTTCTAGACTGATAAAATGGATATAGATCCACCGAATCTTCTTTAATTGACCATTCGTAATTGTCTGATTTTGAACATTTTGAAGGTTTACATGTATAATTACTGTTAGTTGAAGAACTTGCTTTATATATATTAGGCTGCCCTTTCATAATATAGCTGTTATTAATTGAAGTGTAATGACTTTTAGATTCAGATTTTCTTTCCCAATCTTCATACTGTCCATTTATGAATGGATTGAGCAAAAATTGTTTTTGATCCAAATGCTCTTCTCTTGATGGAGATAGGTGTAATATTTCAACATTTTTCTTTCTTTTTCCTTTAGTTAACATTTTCTCTTAACTGTATACAAACTTTCAAATATATAACAGATTTTGATTTATTAAAGGAGATTCAAAATAATTTCCTGTATAAATCCATATCAGACAGCAAAATCTTAAAGAATTGAGAAGTGATATAACAATAACTATTATATACATTTTTGTAAAACTAATTGTTGATAAAAGAATTGATGTTTATCTAACAAAATAGATTGAATGTTATAATCATAAATTGAAATTAAAGATTCTAAACAGCCTGTAACATATTCTATTATTTCTGTTTTCTATACAAATATGGGAGCTATCACGTCTAAGGTAATGAATGTAAGTTTTTATATTTAACATGTATAATTAACTATGATTGACTGATTAACGTGAAGCATCAGCACATTAAGGCTTCTGGTTAGCCACAGGTGCATCATTATAGGAGATTCTGATCTACAATGAGTCAGAACCTCCATAATGGATGAAGCTAGCATGGAGAATGGTGTTCCAATCCATATTATCCATGATAAATTACGAGGATCTTCAATAGATTTGAACTCTGATTGCCCATATAAGTCTCCTACAATTGACTACGTCAGATAACGTTTCAACTTATTAAAACTCAAATGATATGTTTAAAATTGTATGTTGGGCAGCTTCATAATGCCCAATATATAATAAATAATGCTACCATCAAGGACCAAGATGATGATAGATTTTAACTATATATTTTAGATATATAAAGTAGATAAAATCCGTTGGCGTCTCATGGCATTTAATTTGAGGGTGTTGTTGCAGGAGGGCTCGAGGCACGCAACCCTAATGCGACAGCACCCTCGTATTAGGTCGGATGGCCGAGCGGTCAAGGTGGCAGCCTACCGCTTTGGGGAACACGGGATCGAATTCGGACGGATCTCCCAGTAGGTGGTCTCTCTGGATATGTCGGGCCCTGTCCCGCACCACCCAGTCGTCCCATTGAGGGCCTGCCCGAACCCATAATGGGCTTGCTAAAAGAGGTCCTCTAAGTGCTCACAGGGCAGAAAGCGTTAAAAAAAAAATGCATATCCGTATTAGACGTTACGAGCCGTGTGAATAAAACAACTAAACACCGGCTATATGTTTGCGCCTGACTAACGGATTGGTCACGTGGAGTTTTCCGGGTTTTTTTCACGTGTCCACAACAAGGTCAGTTTCCTACAGAAGGCACCAAAGGGGTGCATTCCGGGAGGACTCCTACAGATCGCCCGTGTGCTGCATTGCTCAAATCCATCCAATCCATAAATAAAACAATGAAATAATATAGCCTACTTTTTGGTATATTAACTTGATAAATATAAATTTTAAATATGTTGCCTGATTTGTATAGCTTATATCGTATTTTATTTTCAGTTTATATACGATTATAACGATTCAGAAGACGAATTAGATCGACCATTCAAACAATTAGTTCCATCGAGAAAAAAATTTTCGTTTCTTTCTTTCCGTTCCGAAAATATTTTCGAAAAACGAACTATATTCATGGAAAATGATCCCGGTAGAATCGATAAAAATATAAAATATCTGTTAAATGCCCAAATCTACGTGTTGTATCTGGATAGAAGGCAAAACGATTCTCTCGATGTACGTCTTGATCGGAACAGAAAATTAAGAACAAAAAACTTCAACCGCGTACAAGAAACCTCAATCAGTTATAAATCCGAAAGTGTAGCTCCTAATAAAAATCAAATTTTTATACCTTCGGCTTTGAAGATGAACGACATGAATTATAACGATAGCGGTGCATTATCACGAAGTATAAAGTATTATTCTTCTGATACAGATTTGGAAGACGGTAGAAGGATATCGAGAAAACAGGATTATTATTCCGAAAGTGAAGAATCCGATCAAGAAAATTGGAATTCGTACGGAGATAAAGGAAATTATAAAACTGTTGTGATGCGGAAGACCAAACGGCTCCCTAATACAAGTAGAGACGTAACCATCCCTGTCGAAACTATAAACGTAAACGATAGATCCACCAGGAAGGGAATCCCGACTTATGTCGAAGCTACTATTAACAAGAAGCGGATATCTTGCCATCAAAATACACCGAGAGAAGTGAAAGAGGCATCCAGGAATGTGTTCATTCAAGCGAAACTAAAACCGAGAAAAGAACTGAAGAAAGATCATCCTCCATTCTATGAGAGATAAAATTTGTTCCTTTTCAAATCATTGATGATTTGTATAATTTTATATAGATTTTATCTAAATAAAGTAAAATTTTTGCTTATTTTAAGAATTTTAAGTTCAGTTGTATGGGTACAATATGGATGAGGAACGAAGAGAATTATTAAGCAGTACCAGATTGCCCACTAGGCACGTGCTACAGGGCCGTAAAAACCCGGATCCTGTGGTCTCGAAATTGGGAAAAAATAAAGCAATTTTACCGTTGCAATTATATATCGTAAACTTATGTAAAGAGGTCCTAATCTTCTGTGCCTGGAGGCCTCGAAAGATCTTAATCCACCATACTCTTAAATTCTTATTTCTATATATCCTTAAACTAATCACCAATAAGATTATTTATTAATAATTTTCGTTTAAATTCTTTGTTTTACGTTTTTATTTTCTGAATTTGAATGAGGTTTTCCATGCTTACAGGCAGCGGCGGCCTTATCCATTGCAAGGCTCTGGGCGGCAGATCTTTGCGAGGCCCTGGGCGGCAGATCTTTGCGAGGGTCTTTTCCTTTGTGCAAAGTATGTGAATTGAAATAGTAGGCACTTATTAATATTAATATACTAGCAGGTGGGCCCGGCGTTGCTCGGGCAAAAGTAACGATAACTAAGATAAAGATTATTACGTTACAGTAAACCTTACCCGTTTTCACAGAATGCAAGAATTGGGTCCCCTTGTTTCCAGACTAATTAGAGAATTTTTACATGGGTCTAAAAATATGTTCGATTTCCCGCAAAAACGAAAAAAATCGCATCTGCGTATTGCATATCGCTTTTTCTTAACAATTCCATTGTTACGTAACATTTCCATTGTTGACACTTCCATTGTTACTTAAAACTTCCATTGTTACTTAACACTTCCATTGTTACTTAACACTTCCATTGTTAATGGAAGTGGTAAGACTTAATCCTGTCCCTCTCCCCCGTGGGAAGGAATTTCGAAAAATCCCTTCTTAGTGTGCGTTCTCCTAACGTACCGTAACTGTGTACCAAATTTCAACTTTCAACTCCTAACCGTTTGGGCTCTGCGCTTATTATTATTATTATCATCAACCCGTCTCGATTATATATTAGATACTGTACTATAAATTAAATTTATTTTATTGTTATAACTAATAGCCAAGGATAAAATAAAAAGTTTTAAATATCAACTTTTTTCTACTTGGTTGTTGCGCGAGGCCCCTCCAAGAGCGAGGCCCTGGGCGATTGCCCTGCTCGCCACCCCTAAGGCCGCCACTGGAATTCTTCGTATAATTTTAGCTCCTCTGTTTTATCGGTCGTTCTGTACATAAACGATTTATTTCATGCAAATTTATTAAAGGAAAATAATATATATCTAATTTTTCTTCTCAAACAATGGTAAATCTACGCCATCTTTCAAGATTTCGCTTTGTTAGGGGAGAAAGAGGGTTTAGAAGTACAATAAACGTTATATTAAATGTTGTATTTGTTTGTTGGCCATTTCCGTATGATATACACTTAAAACATTATTACACGAAGGAATGTAATCTCAATTTATGTCAAAATATGATTCGCTTTACGATGTTTTCTATAAACCAATTAGATCGTAAGAGTTTACTGTATTTGATACAAGATTACGAAGGAACAGTGCCAAAATATAACGCTATATTGTGCAGTATAAATTACATGTCATGCAAAATAAAACCGAATTTAATTCTAAATATAAAACTGAAATTCAATCAGTATTGAATTATGAGTAGACACGTGGGTGAAGTTAAGGGTGGCGTGAGGAGCATTATTCCCAACATTGGCGTAAAAATTGTTGAATTTTGAGCAGGATTCATACGTATAGATATATTAATAATAAATAAATAGTTGTAATTATTCATAGTTCTTTGACTTATGAAAAAACTTCAGGGATCACTGATCCTGGAAGCTTTCCCCGCCTCCCGACCTTTATGTTGTGCCTCTAAGAATTTGGATATATCCAATGCCTTGAGAGTTTATATGAGATAAAGCATCCCTTAGAGAGCTACTTTAGCATTTTCAGTGAAATAAGTATTTCTTTATTAATAAAAATCAGTCTTAAGGCTTTACAGATTAATATACAGGAATTGGAATCAGTACGAGTTTTCTCCGGACATGGGGAAATATTCCCAACTTCCCTCCCTCGACGGCCTTACATATATCTCCGCTCGGGAGTAGACACTAAACATACTAATGAATATCCAACCAAATTCATTTAAAACAAGAAGCGTAGAAAATTACAGGCTGCTCAGATGCGTTTTTTGAGACAATTTTTGGAAGCTACACGATTGGACCATCAAATAAACAATGGCATAAAGGAAAGGCCCAGTGGAAGAAATACAGGATTAACTATAAAAATGGCTACAGTATGTTAACAGAATGGCAGAAAATAGGTTACCCAAAGCTACCATTCGGTATCAACCTACATGAAGCGAGATCAATTAAGAACACGGAGATGAGAGAGCAGGAACACTTGAGTTTAACGGACGGAACTAGAATGTACCCAATCTCGTACTCTCATGAATGATGATGATTTATTTAAAAAGAAATACTGATAAATTTTGTATTTATGAGAAACTCTTCAGTTTTTATTTTCAAAATCCTAACATTTCCTTTCATTTTCAGGAATGTGTTGATCCGTTTCTTCAATTTCTGTCAGTTGATATAAGTAGTAAGGTATGCACACGGTCAAACTTGTAGTTAACAAAAATATTAATATCGCTTCATTCGCCAGCTATTAAAAAAATCGATAAAACTTCATAAAAATTTCACAAAACTTAAAAAATTATAAAATAAAATAATTACCGACCCGATTTTCTGAACTTTCTTCGTCAGAAATCAAATATCCAAATATAATAAACGTTATCAAAAGCCCAAAAAATAAATTAATACTCAGAAACAAATTCCAGAATTTCATATCGAATTTTCTATATGACAGCTTAAAAATTATAATTATGTATTGAATCAGATAATTAATAAATTATATAATAAAAAATATCATTTGAAAAGATTAAATGGCGTGAAATAATACCAGGAAATGATTTCAAATGATAACAAATGTCAGATCTTGTTAGGGATCGAAAGAGGCCCGAGCCACTTAATTTTTGAGGCCTTCAGTATATTAAAAAAAGCATTAAAAACTATATTTTTTAAACGATAAAAGTTGTTAAATAAAATTTTTCAATACGTAAGAAATGCAATGGAATGAATAATTTGTAGCAAATGTTTTTGAGGCCCTAACCCAGATGGCCCTACTGACTTCTCTGTGATAATGTTTGATACTGTAATTAGCTTGTATAAGAGAATGTTAAATTCTGAACATTGGTATCAATTGATATCATTTTAAGTGATATTTTTAATAAAAAAAAATCTTACATTATCGATGGAATCTTGTACTCTAGAAGAAATCGAGTCTAACGATTCTAATTTATTGTTTATTCTTTGTCTAAGATGTAGTATATCATCAGAAAATTCATAATCTGTCAAAATTGAAAAAAAAAGTTTTATAAATATAAATTAATAAACATTAAATTTAAATATTATGCCCACTTTGGATTGTTGAACTTGACTGAAAAGGTTCCATTTTGTAATTGTTTACATTAAATAAAATGCATTTAACAATGATTTTTACTAAGAATTAAATTAAATAAAGTATCAATAGAAAATTTTGAATATAAAAAATATTAATTTATCTTAATTCATAATTGAGTATTTATGATTTTTTTTTATAATTCAGCTAAATATTTTAGAATATTTGAAATTTTATTTTAAGAAAATACATCTGAAATCAATTCGAATCATTGATATTAAATACATAAAATCTTATTGAAAATGATAGTAAAATTTAGAAAATTTAATGAGCTATGCTGAAGTTTCTTGGGTCAATATGATCCTGATTAAATTTTATCTCGAAATTTTCTTTTTATGGTAACTCTTTTCACCCTGCGAGAACTAGAAAAGGCTTTTTTTCAACCCACTAAGAGATTCATCATGGTCATCATGCATGCTATAGAGAATCTATCATTTCTCGATGAGGCTCGTAATGACTAGATGAAGAGAAATAGGATCTTTCGTCTAGGATGTCAAATCTCCAGTTACACAAGTAGTACATTAACATGTTGAAGATTAAACGTGACATAAACTTCTTCAATGAGACCAGTCATTCAACTATTGGTCATTCACAATACGTCCATGTTGCTACTCGCAAAACTCGAGACCACTGTAAACATTCGGAAAATAAAAACTTATAAGGATAAATTGCCCTGAAAAGGATCTTAAGGAGTATGTTTGAAAAGAGAGAAGACAGATCCAAGCGCTCCATAGGAAATACATTGAACCGTAATAATTCTTCGCGTCATATTTAGGCATTTATAGCACAGAAATAATTTAAAAGAATTATAATAATGTTAAAAGCTGTGACGAAAATGACGCTAAAACTATTTGTTGCCATAAAATTCGATAAAAAATTGAATAACTTAAAATATTCGGAATTAATTTTGAATTTGCGCTATCAGCGGTTATTTGGTACAATCTGCAGTTAATAAAATAAGAGTGTGACACCGATATAAGTTTAGTAATGTCGCTATTAAAGGGATTGACAGATTATTTAAAAAATTTTAGGGAAAATAGGTTTTTAAAATCAAAATTAATAGCAAATGAAATTTGTACGAAATGCATCATTCCTCTTGAAATCAAAGAAGTCAGATCAAAGAAACGAAAACGTTTATTTGATTATGAAGAAACTGAAACATGTATTACCCTATACAAATACTCCTGAAACAAATTTCTATAAGAACTATTTATTTATTTATTTATTTATTTTTATATTTATAACAGAATAGAAGAAAGATTTAAGCAAATTGAAGAGGATAGTGCCATTTTTAGATCTCTTTACAATATTCCTATATTAAAGGCGATGGACGAGGATGACCATAGAACCATTGTATGGATTTAGAGTTAGCACTGAGGAATGGTGACGATTTCAACGATGAAATTAAAGCGTGAGTATTTTTAAAGGGGCCCCGCATTTCAAGATTGGCCGGGTCCCGCGGTTGCTAGCTGTAGTCCTGGTTTCGTCGGCCATCGCTCTGGGGATCCTGGAACAAATTCGGGCGAATCGAAAAACCCTAGGAATTTTTCGAGGGTAGTCCGTTCCATGTATGTCGAGCCCCGTCCCTTTCCACTCCAGTCGTCCCATTGTCCCATTAGTCTGGCCCAATAGTTCATATAAATCGTATCCAATTAATAGATAAAACTTTTTCTAAATAGTTCAAAAATTGTTTGCTCAAATATATTTCCAATTTTTCCAACACAGTGAAAAATCCAGCAATTATTTGCGTAAATTTTCCGGTTGTTAGTTATTTTTTTAAAATAAAAACTCGTTTTATTAAGCAAAATAAATAAAATTGTGTGTGGCGCCATCTGTTATGGGATTTTGTTATAAAAAACTTTTTATATTTTAATTAATATAATATAGCGAAAAGCTTAATTTTGAGTGCAGAAATGAGCTTTATATATTTAAAAAGTGTAAATGTTAATAACGAATAAAATATTTACTGTATTAAATCTTATCTCTCTCGACATATGACACACGACCTCCGCTATCTCCCCATTCCCTCGACCTTTAACCACTAAAATTTAATATCATTAATGCTCCTCATATATGCCAAATTTCGTTATTTAAAAAGCGAAATACACGCTAACACACATATGTACATATCCACGGAATTTTTTACCGTTTTTTCACTTTTTTGAATTTAGGAGGTCTAAAAACGTGGAGATTTGCAAAAAAACCCGTCAAATTTGACACGATTCCAATACTTTCCCTTGTTATGCATGTTATGTATACGTAATGTTTCCCCCTTTTACTTTCCTGGCTGTTATTAGCCGGGAAAGTAAAAAGGAAAAACATAATTCTGTATGTGTGTATGCATATTGGCTATATTCTGCTTTATAAGCTATATCAAGACTCTCGTCTTGCAAATTTTTTAGATAAAAATAAAATCCTGTCTATGGCATATCACGAATTTTATTGAAAATTTTGAGATAATAATTTTGAGTATTTGACCGAAAGAAATTACAATAATGTTTATATATTTCTTGATGATCTCCAATTCTTTACTTCTCAGCAAGTCTTTTCGTTATCGGATAGTGACTGAAAACATTTCTGCCGCTCTTCACTTATGTTAAGTTTACGTTCTTCTTCCATTTTCACTCTTCTCTGTTCATTTTCGACATAATTTTGGCAAATTTTTTGTATATCTTCTTCTCGATCTCTGCATTTTCTTTCTTCAACTTTCCGACAAAAATCTCTTTCTTGTTCCTTCAATTTCTCCAGTTTGTGATAGCAACATTCCAATTCCTTCGAAGAAAGATCTTGAGCGGAAGAATCGCAAGCATCCGAACAATTTAAATTTTCCGATTTTGATTCGCTACTATCATCACAGGGATCTACACACTTTATATTCTTTTCTTCGCATTCAATATCGCAACTGATATTTTGAGACAGACATTCATTTTGTCTGCAACTATCCACTTCCTCTTCACTGCATATATCTTTAGCAGAAGAACAGGAATTATTCTGCGAATGGCATTCGTTTTCTGCACAATTATCGTGTCGTTCTGTGTAGCATTTATCTTCGGATGCAGAGCAATCATCTGTAGAAGATCCATCAATACGCTTTTCCTCATTTAAGTATCTTGAATTACATTCCTCGTTCCTTATATGAATGGATCCAGAATCACATTTATATTGATTCAGATTATCTTTTTCGAGAAGAATTTCATTTTGTTTTTGATCCGAACTATCCACGTTTTCATTATTACTTTTTTTATCCAATATTTCTTCTTCTTTTGAAGATTTATCTTCAGTTTTTGAACTGGAAGCAGCTTTATCGCGACGAGAAAAGAACGAATTCCACTTTGGCATATTTAAAAATTAATTGCAGAAATTTTGTAAAGCCAAAAATTAATATATAATAATGGATCTAAACAATAGCTATTATAATATTGTTGCTTAATATCGGAGATAATCTTTGTACGAAACAATAATATTAAAATTTATCTGTTAATGATTTAGTAAACGTGGTTTAAGTGTAGACTTAATATTTATACTATTAGATATGGGCACGCATGTGTTTCTTTAGATAAACTTGTCTAAAAATAATTTAAGTACATGGAAGACAATATCAAAATGTTAGAAAAATAGAAAATATATTGTAAAAAAAAGCACTTTAACAATATTCTTTTAAAAATCTCTATAGAGATTAGAAGGAACAATGCAGTTTTTCCCACTCTTATATAGGTTCGTAAGATTAGATCAGAAGAAAATGCCATGTCAGAGGAGTGCCCAATATCATAAATGAAACACCAGTTATCAGAAAAGAATGGGTGATTTACAAAGCTCTAGATTAGATTTCAAGTGCCCAATCTGTAACTTTGACAAATATGGAAAAAAAAAATAAATAAAAATAGTTCTGATTTAATTTATATAATATATAAAATAGCAATTTTAATGTTATATTTTTATAATAATTAAATTTCATATAAAATAATGTAATAAATGTTGAAATTTGTCGAGAGATGGCAGCACAATGACATTAACGTATATATAGTAGTTAGTTATATTTTAATAATAGTAAAATAATTATTTATTTAAAAAATATATATATTAGATTTTACTATAATTTTAAACGATTCAATTTAATAATAATATTCTTATTTACAATTTATAAATTTAATTATTATGGATTTTAAAACAGTTCTGGAAATAAGGAGATAAATACTGTATATCATTTAATATTATCTTTATAATCATGCATTTATGTAAATTTTTATGAATTTTCCTTGAAAACGTTAAATTTTAATTACTATAAATCTATTTTTCTTCTTTATTTTTAATGTAATAAAAAAAAATATTTTAATGCCCACCTATCTTTAAAAAATATCTCATAAAAAGCATTTTTATATACTAAAGAATGACATTTTTATTAAATAAATACAGCCTAAAGGCATTAAAGTATTAATTTAAAAAATTAATTAGAATTATAAATCATTTTATTTATAAAATTATAATTTTTTTTTTATTATAGTCAAACCTCTAAACAATGGACACTAAAGAGGACATAAAAAGTGGTCGTTGCAGGAAGGTTGTGGCCGTTATTAGAAGTTCGACTATATTATTTATTTATTAAAATTAATTCCTTAAAATTAAAGCATATTCTTTTAAAGAAAAGCTTAAAATTTAATTATAATAAAGGTTTTTTTTTCTCCC